CTGCTCCATGCACGCACGCCCCAGGCAGAGCGTTGGCACTGGTCACCAGCAGGTACACGCAGCTGCCCCTCACTGTGCATCCCCTACAACCTGTGGGCCTCCCTCTTCTGGCCTGGGCCATGCCAACTGCAGACTCCTCTCTCCAGCCGTGGCCCTGACTATCCATTCTCTGAACAGGACCCGTTTTCACAGGTGACCCCGATAGATTTCCGTCCAGTAACAGCAACAAGGGTGGCCCGACTTGGGAGCCACGTGCCTGCCATGTGGGAAGTGCCATTCTCTGATGGCAGCTGGAATAAAATCAGAGTTTCAAGGAAAGCTCTGCTTTCCAACCACTGCCAAGCACAGTGTTTTACAGAATGATTTCCAGCTTTTTTCCCTCGAGTACAGACATCTGCCCCACGAGGTGGGTCAGGGCACTCCCTGTGCCCAGCCTGCACATGCTGCTTCAGGGGCACCGGTGCCCTCAGCCACACCTGCAGCGCTGCAAGTGGCACTGAAGCACTTGTCCTGTTCTCCTCATCATGGGTGAGTTTTAAAACTTGTGACTTCTCTTACAACTTGTACAGAGAAGGCTCTACCCTGAAGTATGTAATTTGACAAAGCTTAGAGAACCATGCAAAGCACATTACTTCCACTTCTGCCAGCAATTCAGAATGATTCCAGATTATTTTACCATTTGCCCAGAACACACAGTAGCCATTAATTTATCTATTACAAGTTCTACATGAATACTTGAGGTATTTTATAAAATTACAGCAGAAATGCTTAATCTTAGCCATTATCTGGTATCAGAGCCACTACAGTGAAGGCCTAGTCCTAACTGCACATTTATAATGCAAAGTAATTCTATTTTTGTTCTAATAGTATATTCTAAATCATTGATACTTCAGAGATCTTCTAGAAAGCCACAGGATCAAAAAAAAAAGTGTCAACAGTTCATTAATTTGTTTCTCTTCAGAGAATTGTTTTGGATGTCTCTTTACTGTTTGCTTAGGGCTGACTTGAACTAGATCTGGTGCCTTTCTTTTCTTTTTCTTGGAGGAAGCATCTGGATTTTGTTTACTAAGTTTAACTTTCTGTTGTGCACCAAAAACCAGGGACCACAATGGACTTTACAGTTGCCCTATTTAGGACCTGACCACAATTTTTAAGTACATAATAAGAGACAGAGCAGTTAAAAGATTTACATGTTTAATACAGCTACCAAAATGTGAAAGGTTTCTTACCTGCTTTGAGAAGTGTTCATCATGGTTTTCCCATTTTAGAGTAGTGGTGTTGGGAAACCCAAGTACACTCACTTCTGCCAGCTGAAACCCAGTGGGATTTCTGTAAACCTCTGCAGAAACCAGAATTCTGGTACCACTGGGCAAAACCCGAGCAGGTTTTTGAACAGAGGTTGTAGAAATCTGGGGTAAGGACCAGTAAATTGGTGTTCAACAAAACCTCATTGCCATCGCTGTCCTTGTAAGCGTATTATCAGCAAAAGGAAAGTCAAACCAAGAACTGTATTTGACAGCATTTTGGGAATTAGTTTGTTCAACATATCAGTGCAGTAGTTTTAGTGAATGTCTCTAGCAAGTCTTGTACTTTTACAGAAGCAAAGGTCCAGTAATTTGAAGTCTTACCACATCTTCACTTTTATTATGACTACTCTAGGTGTTTTTATAATTTTTACTGACACTCAGTAACTGTATAATTGTGTACAACATGTTGATGAAATCGTTAGAGAATACATAGAAAGCACTGCAGCTGAAGCATATAAAGTTAATATTGTTTACAGCATACTGTGGACAGTGCCAAATAAATGTTTAAACAAATACTTAACTACACTTCATGGTGTAACTAGTAACTGTACACAGATTCATAACAAATGACATCTCATGTGTAATCAATATTCTTAAATAAAATATTTATAATTGAACTTCTGCAGGGCTTTTAATTTTACACCTAGTACATGCCTGAGCTGAACCACTAGTGCATATTAAATACATTCTGATGAAGATAAGGCTCCAAAAAACAGTGTATGTGTACAGCCCACTGTACACATTTTGCTGCCATGGTGTTTACACCAAGAACATTTCTCTTTTCCTTTTGATATTGCTGTGCCACACAGTATCAGCCAAAATTTAAAATCACAGAACCCCATGAGGAAAAGTTCAACATGAATAAATGGTAATTCAGGGTTAGCCTGTGCACTTAAACAGCAGTTTTACTTACCTGCATCTGCTGATCCACCAAGAGACAGAGGTTTCAATTTACATGAGGAAGAGACAGGGAAAAGAACACTCCAGATTATTGGTGAGGGTCAGTTTATTTGCCACTTTCAAATGAAGTAACAGCTAGAAGAGTGGTGTAAGGGGTTAACTTGCTTCTGACAGTTCAAAAGATGTGTTATGTGTTACAGGTAATAAGTTTGGTTCTTTCTCAGGTTTAAATTCCTCCCTTCTACTGAGGTTTTGGAAAAGGAGGAGTCATACTAACACCATGGAGTAAGACCATTGTCTTTCATGGATACACGTGCTGCTTTTACCATTCCAGTGGGAAGAAATATTTTGCTGTGAGGGTGGTGAGACACTGGAACAGGGATGGATGCCCCAACCTTGGCAGTGTCCAAGGCCAGGTTGGATAAAACCTTGAGGAATGTGCTCTAGTGAGAGGTGTCCCTGACCATGGCAGGGGACATTGAGGCAAGATGAGCCTTAAGCTCCATTTCAACCCCTTAATATTCTATGATTAAAAGGGGCAGCAATTTCTGTAGAGGCTCCTGAAATGCTGCCCCAGCCTGTAACTTACCCTTACAGCTGAGCTGCCAGTGCCCCTTGCTGCACACCCCCTTCTTTTGTCCAGTTACATTCACATCCTGGAGGATCTTGCCAGGAGACCACATCCACCCTCCACAGCATTACACACCTCCTTCCCAGCTTCATTAGCACATAACTCACATTTCATTAACACATAAGCGTGTCCGTGTCTGACATTCACCACCACTCATCATATGTACATACAAGACCAGTTTCAATTTCCAGAGGCTTCCCAACCAGCCTGGAACTGGCTAAAAGAAGCACTGATTTGGAGTGAGGGTGCTCTGGCATCTCCTGTATTTCACTTTAAGAGTCTTTCCTGTTTCACAACAACTGAAGGGGCCAGCTGAGACAGTTGGGGTCAGCACCACTAATGCAGCCCCCTAGTGCATGTTCTAAGGAGGACAGTTCAGACTGGGAACTGCTCTCACAGCACAACACAGACATCACTGAATCCAACGTGGAACAGACACTCCTCACACCATAAACAAGCTGCAAAGACATTTAATCCAGTGGATTATTCTTTACCACTGTGACTTTCCCCGCTGAGTGCACTTACAGCAGGCTTTGCATAGGAAAAGGACAGGGGTGTCAGTTGGGTAAGCTAATTAAACCTCATGGAACAATAAGCACAATGAACGTGCAACATAGAAAATCACTGGAAATGAGCTGCTGTATCACACAAGTTCTCCAAATATTTGAGTAAACTTCTCTTTGTCTACAATCTGTCCATACTTAACTGTAAAATATAAAGTATCTGTGCTGTTATACCGTTTGAACTGGAGAAGCAGCTCTCCCTTGCTGTCTCCAACTTCATCCAAAGTCACCACTGTCTCTATGGGACAGTAAATGTCATTCCGTCTTCCCCAGAATGTCAAGTGGGCCACTCTGACAGTTTGGCCAGTTTCACTCAAGTAGATGAATCCAATAATTCTTCTGAAAAAGTAGCTCATACTGTACAACATTGCACCAGCAAAGACTGCAAGGCCAGTTGTGTATAAGAGGATATTCTGAGACACCTGGTTCTGCAGGTAGAGGTACCAGATGGGAGGCAGCGTGACCACGGTGGTGGCAGTCTGCAACAGCTTCAGTCTGGACAGGACCCTGAAGTACTTTATCCCTGGAAACCTGTAGACCAGTTTGAACTCTTCTGTCCTCCCATCCACAGCCTTCTGCTGGACCACAGCAGCAGTGGCCAAATGGGACAGACACACAGACTCTCGCTGTCTCCTGAGATAACTGTTAACACCACTGACTTGCTGGTTTTGTGTCTGCAAACACTCCCATGTGCCAAAAGTCCAGGGCGGGCGAGCATCTCCCCTTCTCCATGACCTTGTCCAGAGCACCTTCTGCAGACATCTCCCAGAAGCTGGTGCCATGCAGACTTTAGTCCTGACTGTGCAGAGCCAAGCCTGTAAGGAAAGGTTCCCAGAAGTCATCATTTGAGCCCTCGTTAGAACTAAATCACAGTGAGCTTAGTCGGTCCCTCAGGCACCTACAGACAGCAAAGCACAAGCCCCTGCTCAGAGTAACCTCAAACCAGTGTTCAGTCAGGAAACGGGTGTTCGTGCTCACATCCCCCCGTGCAAAGCAAGAGGGAAAATACTCTGGATAACACAGTTAACTGAGATAACCAGTCAGCTCAGTGAACGGACCCCATGGCGTCCCCTGCCTCTCTCGCTGTTTGGTTTTGATGTTCGAGCCACATCAAGGCACTACGGGCCGCTTCAAGGCAAAGAGGGCAGGAGAACGCGGGCAGCCGGCCGGCGACATCGGCGATTTGCTAAATAACCACTTAAATAGCAATTCTAGGGAAACGGGAGAGGAAAAAAAAAAAAAGCGGACTAGGCACGGTAAAGGGGAGAGGGGAGAGCGCTCTACACCGAGAGAGGGCCCGGAGAAAGAGGGACCAGACAGTGGGGATGTGCAGGATAAAAGGAAGGAAGGGAACCCGGCGCTGTCCCGCCGCGGTGTAACACACCCGCGAGCGCCAGCGCCCGCGCAGGGACGCGTCGGGAGGGGAAAGGGAAGGGGAACGGGAAGGAAAGGGAAAAGGGAAGAGGGACCGGCCCGTCCCTGGCAGCCCCCCATCCCCTCCCGGCCCGTCCCTGGCAGCCCCCCATCCCCTCCCGGCCCGTCCCTCACCGCCGCCATGTTCGCACCGCCCCCTCAGCGCGCGCGGGGCCCGCCGGGAGGGAGGGGCGGCCCCGCCGGCCCGGCCCCGCCATGGCCCCGCCGCCCGCAGCGCTCTGTCTGTTCGACGTGGACGGGACCCTCACGGCCCCGCGCCAGGCGAGTGCGGGACGGGGCTGTGGGACGGGGCTAAGGGCTGTCACCGAGGGGCTGCGGGCGCTGGGGGAGCGGGGGGGTGTCCCACAGCGTGCGAGCCCTCGGGCAGCGGGGCATCGCACACCGCGGGCTGGGTGGGCGAACTTGCCGCGCCCCTTACGGGGGAAACAGAAGAATCCTCCCTGTTTCTTAAAGCCGGTGCCGCTGGTTTGAGGCGGCTGTTGCGGAGCAGCGCTGCGGGGCTCATGCCGCAGGCAGGGAGGGCTGACGGGTGTGTTTGGGCGCAGAGGATCTCCCCGGAGATGGCGGCGTTCCTGCAGCGGCTGCGGCAGAAGGTGAAGGTTGGGGTGGTGGGAGGCTCCGACTTCGCCAAGATCCGCGAGCAGCTGGGCGAGGACGGTAAGGACCGCGCTGATGCAATCCCGAGCTACCCACAAGGAAGTCGGGAAGGTTAATGTAGGTTAAACCCTGTTCGTTCCCCTCCTCCCTTGCTTTGAACTGTTCCTGGTGATGCCGCGTTGCGCTCAGTCCGTGAAGAGCTGTTTCCTGACACTTAGAAACTGCAGCGTTTGAATTTTACAGGTATCTCGGTATCATATTAAGGGATTGTACTAATGGTGAACTCCTGGCAGAACTTTGGGAGGGCTTTATCCCGTTGCTGCTTTACAGTGGGACTGTGTGTGTGACACACACGTGTGGCTGCTCAGCTGTGAGCACATCCCTGGAGGGTCTGACTTTGTTCACTGCACCATAACCCGCATAACAAACCCCTTTTGTAATGAGGTGCAGCGATGGATTCTCACCCTATCCTACAAGAGGCACTTCCTTTTCTGTGTCTTTAATGGTCTTAATTGATGCCCCTGACAGCCTTCTGTCGTGCTCAGATAACTCAGAATTCGTTTGGCTTCCAAGTGACCTCCACTAAGCTGCATCATTTTGTGTTGTAGTAAGAGTCTCACAACTGCCAGACATCTACTGAAGATTAGTAACACTGAGGAAACAAACGTAAAAGAGCAGTATTTGACCTGCTCTCTCGCCAGGCTGTGCGCCAGGTTTTTGCAATATTTCAGGTGTTCAGTCACTTCCTTACACTTAATGCAAAGAGACATTTTCAGGAGAGGAAGAGCCTTTGAGCAAAAACACGGGTAACTCAATTGAATGACTTCTTGTGATTTGAGGTGTGCATTAATCTTGGTGTGAAATGGGAGTGCCTTTGATCCTGTGCTTAATGTTATGCTGCTGAATCTTTCATGCTTTGGGATCTAATGTTTGCTGTAACCTGTTTAACATGTAAGACAAAACTGCATTAAACATACATGGGGAAAAAGTATGTGTTACTGTCTTTCTGTTTGCTTGCAGTGGTTGAAAAATTTGACTATGTGTTTCCAGAAAACGGTCTTGTAGCATACAAGGATGGGAAATTCCTGAGCAAGCAGGTAAGTGAAATTTCCAGTAGTGGGAAAGAGAAATTTTCTAAAGACTTTTCTTTGTTGCTACAGTGCAGTCCTCTGTAATCACCCTTCTAACAAAGGCCAAAACTGCTGCTGTTTTCATGTTACCCCTGTTAATGGATCATTCATTTGGCCTGTAATATCAACATAAGTAATGGAGAGCAAACATTTAAAAAGAGATCCTGGCTGAAATTGCTGCCTTGAGCAGTGGTTCCAATTTACTGCAGGAACAAGCTCCATTTCTTCATACTTGGCTACAGCAGATATTAACTGCAGTTTTTGTTTAAGGCTGCTGCCTCTGGCCCACAGCTTCCTTCTAAACTAGGTGCAAGTAGGGAGCATATTAAAGGATGCTAACCTTTATATGCTATGTTAATATGCTAAGCATGTTAACCATGGTGTTATGGTTAAAAAATAAAAAAGTAAACAAAAATAAAAATGAGAGCCTTCGGTTAATACCGTGTGTGCATCAGCTGAGAGTTACTGATTGAAGGCATGTTTGTTCCTCTGTGGTATTAACCATGCCTGATTATCCAATGTCTGTGTTTTCCATGTGACTTGCTTTTAGAATCTCAAATTCTGGACCCTTGGTTGAATGGTGTTTATTTTGTTAGAGCATTCAGGGTCACCTGGGCGAGGACATTCTTCAGGATGTAATCAACTACTGCCTGAGTTACATTGCAAAGATTAAACTGCCAAAGAAGAGGTATGTGGACACACACATCTCATGTGGCCATGTTCTCCTTGTTACAGTGCTGGACATCAGGATGTAAAGCTCAGCTCAGGCTGCTGAGCAGAAAAAAAATGAGTAATTAGTTGTTTTGGAACACTGTGTATGTGAAACAGCTCAATCCATGCATACAAAGACCAGCTCCCAGCTAGAGCACAGGATTTGAAATATTGATTCAGTATTTTTAAGAGGGAAGGAGACTCAGTTTTGAAGTAGGAGTGTTTCCTTGATGTGTTTGGAATTCAGCAGCATCATGTTTTCCAGAGATGAGAGGTGTGCAGCAAGACCAGCTCTGTGTGATACATGAGGTGCAGCTGCTCCAGGGCACTAAAATGCACCGTGTGAGGCAGGGCAGGACACTGCCCAGATTGATGTGAATTTTGCAGCTTCACCCCAAAACTGACAGCCTGGTCCGTCAGGCTCTGAGGATTGGGTTGATGGGATGCTCCAGTCACACTTTTAAAACCAAGCTGTACTTTTAACAGTCAGAAAGGATGACATTGAGATTGCCAGATTGAAATAACAGTCCAGAATACTCCTTGGTGCCAGAGGTATTGGTTCCTATGCATGCAATGAGTTTTATGCATACAGTGAGAGGCTGAAGGACGCAGCTGATTCCCATTGTCTTCGGAATTAAATGGAAGTTCATTATGATACTTAGTGTTTTGATCAATTTTTTCATCTGTTTTCTGTCTTGTTAATCACTCCTTTTCCAGAGGCACTTTCATTGAGTTCCGGAACGGGATGTTAAATGTGTCCCCCATTGGAAGGAGCTGCAGCCAGGAAGAACGACTTGAGTTCTATGAACTCGATAAAGTGAGTTACAGCTCTTGAAAAATACCCAGCTCTCCTGGAGGAGGCAGTTACAGCCAGGTTATGATTTTTAAAAAACTTCTATACTTTCTGCAGTTTTTTTTCATTGTAATCCACGTAGTTTAATGAACTTCTTCATTCAGACCTCAGCAAATAGACAATAGTTTTTTTGTTGCAATGGTTAACAGTGATTACTTGCAGAAGGGGTGGGTTTGGCTCATGTTTCTTTTAATCCAGACCACCCAACCTCTACACACAGGGTAAAAATGCTGTCCTAGATAAAACCATTCCTTGGTGAGCTCTTTAGTGTACCAATCTGTATCCATTCAACTCAATAAAACTATTCCTTTACTTGTCCTCTGCTAAACCTTTTAAAGCAGAATTTTAACAGCTGAGGTCAAACTGTTCACCATTTATCCTCCTTTGTACACAGCTAAATGTGCAAGGCTGAAATGAATCTGAGCCACGAGAGTTCTGTTTCCTGCTACACCACAACTGTTTCTGACCCAATAAAAAACCTGAAACCTAATTCCTCAAAAGCAGACTTTATCTGTGACTCAGTTAATGGATGCTGAAGGATATCTAAGATATCTAAGCATTCTGAAAAAACCCTTCTTGGAGTATATGGCCTCAGAAGAGTAGTATCAGTTTTTTAGACTCTTCCTATGCCTTAGTCTTCCCACTTGTAAAACTGAATTTTTCTGGGAGTTGAAGCACGCTTTTGTAGTGTTCTAAGATTTTCAGGTGGAAGAGCAAATATCACAGCATGTATGTGAAGTTTTGCTCTTTTATTTTTTTACAAGTTGGTAACGGATTAAAGTGGGAGGATTCTCAACTTGCTGCCAGTAATAATGTGGCTGTATCACAATCCTGGTACTCAGACCTCTGGGTATTTTTGAGATGTTTTTTGGGGGTTATCTTTTCATTGATGAATTAACACAGCTTGTAACTGATATGTGGTTTTGTTTTTTTCTTAACAGAAGGAACATATAAGAGAGAAATTTGTGGCTGATTTACGAAGAGAATTTGCAGGCAAGGGCCTCACGTTTTCTATAGGTAATACATTAAAAGAATGTAATTTAAAACATCAATTAATTTAAATTTAAATTAAGTCATATTGTCTCGTGGCTGTGACATATCCCATTTCATTTGTGTGATAGTTCTCACTGGGGGTGGTTGCAGGCAAGACTGAGCCTCTTTTTCGTCTTAGGCTTTCACTTGGACATTTTAATTGAGATCCATCAACAAAGAGAACTTCATTGCTTGTCATCAGTTCATTGTCCTTTAATGTCAGTTGTATGACTGATTCTGCTCATTTTGAAACATATTATATGCTTCTATTTAGTCAAGAGTTGTTTCTGTGAATCAGTTTTGATCAGAACTATTCCATCAGTGCTGTTCAGTTGCCCTTGGTTCTTCAGCTCTAACTGCATTGTGTGGGAGGAAGGAAAGAATCCAAAAGCAAGTGCAAGCTTAAAGAGAAAAATTATAATAGAGAGGGAATTAATATTCCATGCATTTCTTCTTTTTTCCCTTCTCCTCTAATATATTACCACATTCCTGCCCTTTGTTATTTTTCAGAAAGTATGGTTGCCATTAGTGCTGTGGTATTGAAGCACTAAGGCAGAAATGAACTGAAATGCAGCTCTCTTGAAGCATGTTGTAAATACCTTTAAGGCACCTGCTTCAACTGGGGATCATGCTTTTAGGTATGGGGGAAGTCCAAGGATTCAGAACTGGAACAGTTGTTGTCCTCTTAGGGTGTGTTAAAAAGGCTGATTTCCTCCTTTTTCTATTCTGAAAGCCTTAGAAAGTCTTTTGCCTTAAGACTTTATGGCTGTAGATAGACTTATGACTGCTTTCATTTGTGTCCTTTCCTTCCAAAATTAAAGAGATTAAATGTAATTCTTTTTAAAAGGTTCACTTTTTGGGAACATGCTAAGACTTTCATATTTGTTTAATGGATAAATAATCATCTTTAAATCACAATTGTAAGAACTGATATCCTATAAAACACTTTCTGTACTTACAAGACCTAACTCATAATATTTCTGTGGCTTCTGCAAAGCTCTCTCTGCCTAAAATCTTACCCAGTTTAGGATTTCTTCACTTCCTCTCCCCTGAGGAATGTGTTCTTACAATCAAACCAGTCTGCTTGGTTCATGTCTATCCTAGGAGGGCAGATAAGCATCGATGTGTTCCCCGATGGCTGGGACAAGAGGTACTGCTTAGGAATTGTTGCCAATGATGGATACAAGGCTATTTATTTCTTCGGAGACAAGACTATGCCAGTGAGTACATTAGTTTGTTATATTAATTTCAGAGCTGTTTTAAAGCACAGGGACTGTAGGTTCTAACATTCTAACCTAATTCCTGATGAATTCCCGAAGTCAGGGTACAAACACACGTCCATGTTTAACTGGCTGTGCTGCTGGGGGAGAGCTGGGAGGTTTTCCTCCTGTTTCCTGATGTGAACACAAGGTTCTTGACAGACTTAATAGAAATTGTTTGTAAATGGAGCTTCTGTAATTCTGTTAAAAACCTAGGTGACATGACTATGTGATAAACTGATTATCCTCTGTGGTTAGTGTAGATTGATGCTTCCTGTTGGCTGGTGTTTATTAAACATATTTCTTTCCCATTTAATTTAATTTAATGCCATTCCTTTGCTCAACACTGTCTCCACATTGGGGAACTGAACATAGTCCCTGCCCCCCATCATGGGGCTCAGCAGAGCAATTCAGAAGCTTTTAAAACTCCTGAGCAGAGACCTGACAAGAGCCTGTGAGGGCAATGGCAAGCATAAGGACTGGGATGAAATTAAAGCTGTCTGAATATGGCCAAGGGACAGGGTCAGGCTAAGTTTTACAAGAAAAGGCTTAGTTTTATAAGAACTTGGAGTTATAAAACTCTGAAGTTACAAAGAACTTTATAGATTTATAAACTTGAAAAGGTGAAATTTTATAAGGAAAAAACAATTAAATTAAAGGGGTTTTCTGCCTTGACAGCAGCTGCAAAAGTAATCACCTGTCCCTCTGGCACGGAGTTCATGGACAGTTCATTTTAAACCCTGTAAGTGGCAGTGCAGCATTTTCAGAGTGTTGAAGTACCAAGAGCTGCTGCTGACCCCGTGACAGCAGAGTGGCAAACAGCAAACAGAAACTTGGGAACTGCTTCCTGCAGTGCTCCCGGTGGTTTTCAGGGATCTCTGCTCATGCAGGTGGCACTGCTGTTGTTCCCTGAGCCTTGTCAGGTGTCCTGTCACTGCAGGCCCTTGGAAGAAGGCCCTTCTTTCCATGTTTTCCTCTATGTGTCCCTTTTGTGTGATTATATGTTAAATAAAATTAAATCCTCTTTTGCTTCTAGGGAGGGAATGACTATGAAATTTTCACAGACTCCAGAACAGAAGGCTACAGTGTCACATCCCCCCAGGATACCAGAAGAATCTGTGAAGAGCTATTTTTTAAATGAAAGACTTTCAGAATTCACCCTTCCAGGACGGTTAAAACAGTTTAATAACTTGAGACATCATCTTCATTCTGTATTGTGTTTTGTAACTGTTTAATGAGTAGCAGGTGCTTTGCAGGTCAGTCATTCCTGAAGGGAAATGTTTTAATTGAAGACCCCTTGCTGACCAGGGGAACACAGCAGAGCACATTTCACACCATCCTTTCAAGTACTGTTTTCTTTTTGTTTGGTTGTGGGGTTTGGGTTGGTTTATATTTTTTGTTGGTTTTTAAGTCATCAGTAAACATCCTTAACTAATTAAATACATTTTAGGGGGGAAGGGGAGGCATAATCTGCCTCTAGTTGATTTATGGTCTTGAAACTGGCCTGCAAGGCTTTATCCCTAGTTTTTTTTATTTTGAGGCTGCTTTTTAAAAGATGAGCATTTTATAAGAGGTTTGGGGGTTTTTTTAAATACTGCCTTGTGCTATAAAATCATGAATTATAAGACAGTTGGGACTTTCTTGTCTGAAACTGGATTTATTTCTTCCTGGAGGTGGGAAGATTGAACTGAGCCATAAGTTCCTGACCCCACATGTGTTCCAGTGTGTGGTCAGAAGGTGCTTCAGGTCTCCCACCCCTGGGAAGGCTGGACCAGCTGGGGCCAAAGTTACCTCCTCAGAATGGCACAGTCAGATCATGGTACCTACACTCTGCAGACTACTAAAATCTAAAAAAAATAAAAAAATTGTAAAGATAATCAAAGTAACGTCATCACAGTAACAAAATATATTCCTGTCACTTTCTGATAGTTTTCTGATTTTCTTTGTAAGAAGGAAATTAAGGGTAAATGAGATTTTAGTACTAAGAAAATTACCTGAATTATGTTTCTCTTAAAATTCAAGTCAACACCTGACAACCCATGTAACTGTTAATATTACTTTTCTCATCTGGCATTACGAAAGTAATCTTGTGTATGAACAATTTGATTTAGTAACAGAGAAATAAATCTCATCATAAAAAATTACTGTTTCAATTTGTCGTTTTGGCAAATAAAATACTTTAAGCAGAACCTGTTGCCTGCTGCCTGTCTGTACAAAGAAATGAGGGACCTGAATCTTTCCAATTCCATGTTTATGTGATACCTGCACAGTAAAAAAAAAAAGGGAGAGTACAATCTTTGTGTACCAACCCAAATCCCCAGAAGAGCTTACGAAAAAGGAGAGGGAGCTGTAATGCACCTCATGCATCAAAACTACCTTGTCTGCTAATGTTTTCTTATATAAGTCTTTAAATATCAGACACCTGCATTCTCCTCTCTTTGATCATCTTCACCACCACCTACCCAGGGAGGAGACTGAAGACACGTTAAAGCATTATAATGGTCGCATTTATTGTAAAGAAAGCAGTGTGTGATACTCCAACAAGCTGGACAGTGATAAATCCACCACTACCGAGTCTTATGGGTCATAAAAAACAAAGCCAAACTCCAAACCCCACTACAGATTGGTTGTTACCATACACCACAGTGTGATACTGGTACAGCTCAGGTAAAACGAGCCAGCACAGCAGTTACTGACCTCCACACCTCAGAACAGGTCCTGTGCCCTGAGTCCTGGGACATGTCCTGACAGCAAGCACCTGCTGGGAAAACTGCAAATAGGCAACTGGAGTTACACTGTTTCACACAACTAACAAGAGCTGTGCCATCTTTTTTTTACATTTTTTTTTTATTATTATTATTATTTGCAAAGTCAATAAAAATCCACTGTTAGGAACATAATGGAGAAAAATGCTGCATTTGAAAAACAAAAATATATGGAAGGCAAATAGGAACAAAACTAAGTTAGTTGCACTACAACTACATGAAGGGAAGAGTGACTCTATCACATCTTACCAAGCAAGTTTTCCTGGGAAACAGATGCAGAATGTACTTCACCAAGACAGCTGAGCCTGTTAAGTAACTCACACAATATTTTACACAGGGGCATCTGAGCAGCACAGCCTGCTGCTGTTGGGAAGGGCAGTTATCCTGCCTGCCTGGTGGCAACACCACGGCAGAGAGGCAACTGTCTGCCACCCAGAAGGTCATCTTCAGCCTTGTCTAAATTCAGACACAGTCAGAGGTTATGAAGTATCCACTATTCTACAGCTTTCTACCCCTTACCTTGAAGTAAATTTTTTTAATTTGGGTTGGAACTTTTTGTTTGTTGTTTTTTTTTTTAATACTGGCCTATAAAATTTGTTGCTAATCAACCACCAAGGCACCTAAGTAAATTCACAAACAATCCTGACTTTACAACCACAATACAGTTTCCACACCGGTGCAGCCACACCACGTGCAAACGGTGCACTGGAGTGTAACCACTAGATGGAGAATTTCCACCTCGTGGCTGCTGCTGTTTGTGAACTTCCTTCCACGAGGACAACAAATTGCAGCAATGAACACCTCTCTCTCTCAAGGCAAGGCATTCAGGCACTGTTATCAGCAATAAATGTACTGTAACCCTACAGAAGAGCAGCCCAAGGGAGCAGAGGGCTCACACAATGCCAGGGTCTTGGGGTTATGGCCATCTGCACTAGAAGAGCTCTCCTTAAACCTCTCCCTGCTCCCCCCTGGGCATTTCCTGGAATCAGTTCACAAGATAAAAGAAAAAACCCAAACCTCCCCTCCTCCACCAAGCACACAAACTAGGTCTCTTTAAATACATTTTTTGTAAACACATTACGCTAGATTTTTTTTTTCATTAGCATTTGAATTGCCTTTTTTTTTTTTTTTTAAATCAGGCCAGCTATAAAAAAACGGTAATCCTGGCCTGCTTCTGCTTTATTGACAACTGCAGTGTTTCCTCCTGCAACAACACGTGGGATATTCTCAGGACAGGTCCCCTGAAGGCAGCTGTTGAGCAGTGACCACACGGGTCAACCCTGGGACTCCCCTCAGGGGCTGACGACGTGCCCCGACCAGGTCTCGTGCTTGGTGCCAGGGGCGAGGTGGGTGATCACCACCTCCACTGCCTGCAGCTTCTCGTTCTTCGGGGGGATGGTGCACATCTTGTAGGTGACCTCGTCGCCCGCCACAGGAACGTACTCGCCCTCGATGCTGCGGAGGGGGAAGCTCCAGTTAGTCATAAATCACATCAACGCTCCTTTGCAGCTTATTTAAATCTTTATCATAATAATTATCTCGGATGCTTAAGACACTTCAGGTTTGTGGTTGTTTTTTTTTTACAGAGCCTGTCGTCCATCAAAGTCTGGTTGGTGGATTTTGGTTGTCTGGCAGCGAAATCCCTATGGAAATACTATAAACGCCACCACCACCCTAAAAAAAACAACCAACCAAAAAAAATTCAAAATGAAAACAGAAAAACAGGAAAATCCCCACCCTAATATACCTTAAAGAATACTCCAGCTTTGGCAGCATCACTGTGCACTGTGCACCAGCACCTCACCCGCCGGCAGCACTAGAGGGCAGGGCTGATGCTGTTTGCCACTTACTTTGGGGATATGGTTTTTAAACTACAGAAAGTTGATCCTTTTCTTTTTTCCCCTCCTTTTCACTAAAGCTTTTGAAGTTTGAGTTTAGGTTTTTTTCCCCTCTTTTTTTTTTTAAAAAAAGGGTTGTGCCGTGTAATGGAGAGATTTTACCTTCAGATTACTCCACTGTAACAGTTTGTGGTACGAAAAAAAAAACAAACAAACAAAAAAAGCCCAAGTGAGCTGTGGTGTCAAATATTTCAAAATTACTCGCTGTGAGAAAAGAGAGTTGTGCCACCCTGATGTGCTGCACTGCAGAAAAACTCATCCAGCACTCAGGAAATTTTCCAGGAGTCGCTCACTCCTACCTATCCCCCACCAGTGTGATGCCACGGGATGCTGGAGGACTTTCACTGTGCATTTGTAACTGCATGTGAGTCCTTATCCTGAAACAGTGGGAGATGGCCAAAGGGCTGTCACCTTCTGTTCAGAACAATGTGCTGGTGACACAGAGAACTGCAAAGTGCTTTCCTCACCCTGTGCTCAACATCAGCTTTGTAATAAAAATCCCAGCATGTGCCAGTGAAGACCAGCAGAGATTTCTCCAACCTGCAGTGCCACGAGGCTCTGACAGTACAAACAATGCTCCTTCACCTTTCTTTAAATACATCTACAAGAGTCCATGCCCACCTTCCCCTTCTTTGGCAGCCCTAGATTTCTTGTTGTTTGAGGGTTTTCAGTGTCTCTCAGCAGCATCTGTATTTGGGAACAGATAAACACTAATAAATTCTACCTCATTGGTGTGACTTGCTTGTGAACTCCTATTAACTGGAGGTAAGATTTGGGTTCAGGAAAGAAAAAAAAAAAAAGTCATCTAGGTCAGAAGTTTGTCACACACCACTGGGTTTGTTATTTGCCTTCACTGGCAGCATGGTCACACCACCCAAGAATTGTACCCCACATGTTTCTGTTAATAGCAGAGATCTCAGATTTTAGCAGAGCCCTTCATATCCACTCTCATCTCATGACCCATTACTGTTTGGGCTTTTCTATTGCAGGAAAGACTGGCAGGGCTGATAGGAGGTAAATTCACTGGCCCTTACTGCCAGCTGTGACTTCACATCAGAGTTTGCTTCTCCCCACAGCTCTACAAAACTTCTTCAGCTTCATCTCCTGCACTGCCTCTCCCCAACCCTTCCCCTTTTGAGGGCTGCCTCAGCTTCTGCTCCTCTCTGATGCCCTGTGAGTGCTGCTCAAGGAGCTGGTGACAAACTGTGCTGGAGCAAAGGCAGCCAGGGACAGAATGGGTAACCAGGCATGTACAAGGGAAGCTAAAACTGACCCACAAATCAGAATTTCTCACATGGGAAATTCAAAAGAAAAGTCATTGTTTGCTTACTGATTGTATCAACATGATATTGAAAATGCTCCTGTATCTGAATATGGATCTAAAACCTGCTGTGAGGAGTTAAAGGCAGTCCCAAGGCCTGTGGCTTGAAATGCATGTCCTTCAGACTTTATTTCCCTCTATGCCAGAGCTGCCTGTGACTACAGGAATAAGACCCAAGAGGGCATACCCTAAGCTGAACTCTTCCAGCAAGTGCCTGGGAAAACAGGAGTAAATTGAAGGCAGAAAAAATATTTACAGAAAAATCAAGATAAAGCCTCCTTCATCAGACCTGACAGCCCTTTCCAGCCCATGCAGGCTGATCCAGCTGACCTTTATTAACAACCAGAGTCTCCAGGCCAACCTGTCAGCCCAGTCCTGTATCACACCACATTCAAGCTCCCGCATCTGACTCCTGCTGTGCTGTCCTCTCCAATTACTGCCTTCATTTATACCCCACTTTCCCCATTTCCAACAGGTTTAAGACTCTTTCAGGTGTGAAGGGATTGCACATCTAATCCTTACTTGCCTTTCAGAAGCAAAGATTAACTTACCCTTTCTACTGCCAAGGGAATTTGCCACCAAATACCCTGCAGTTTACCCTGACTTCAAAACAGAGGATTTCAAGCAAGGATGTATTTGCTGGTGCTGCATCAGAGTCTGACAAGGGGATGTGAAGTTCCAAGAAGAGACACAGGTGAGGGTCAAACCACGAGTGAAAATGGGAATGGCACATAAATCACATCACCTTTCTTACTTGAACCTCTTGAACTCCTGTAGCCAAAAATATTGTTGCTATAGAGCTAAAACCATTACTGCCATGAGCAGTAACTCTCAACACAGCCCATGCAGGACGTCAGTCCCAGCTGAGCAAGGCAGCACCTTTCCATGGAAGGCAACGCAGCACAGGCATTTTATCTGCACAAGGGAACATGGGATGAGCAAAACACAGCGAGCAGAAACATTCCCAGATGGGTGTAACGAAGGCAGACAATGAGAGCTGAAGCAGAAAGGCTGCACTGACTCAGGTACAGCTGAGCCACTGCAAGGAGCCACAATGACACACGTTTGTTCGTGGGGCCTCAAGTACCAGGACCAGCTGCAGACAGTGTTGCAGGGAGCACAGGCACAGCAGATACGTGGGGCAGGAACT